CGGTGCGCGTTTGGGTGTCGACTGCTGGCATCAGCTCCATGCTGCCAATGCTGCCAACAAAATCATGCTTACCACCCGCTTCCATTACGCAGATTCCAAAAGCGAACGCAGGGGCCATTGATGATACAGGTGCGCCGCGTTATGGGTGGCTACTGCGGCGCCATCGAATCGCTTGCATGGATGGGTGGTGGTACCCGCACGAGCCCAACGCGTCCTTCCCTGTGCGGTAGGGTTTTTCTGCCTCATCTATTTGATTGCGCTGTAAAGGCTTGTCCTCATAGCTTTGCTACCCAAGTACAGTTTGTCCGACAGCTACCCGAAAATGCCAATCTTTCGTCCAGGAGATCACGTTTCCTGAGGAAATAAAAGAGCAGATCAATTGTTGGGTTGCGCCAAAATGCCCCGTTGCTTTGAGTGGATGTTTTCAGTTAGCCCTTGGTGACGCATTGAAACGATAACGAGGCGGTGAAAATGGGCAAAAAGAAGGCATGGCTGCACAGCTGGCGGGCTGTAACTTTGTTTTCACATAAGGTTTAAACAACATACTGGGTTTTATTTTGCTCATTAGGATTTGAAATATCTTTCGATAGGGAATTCAGATCTCCTGGTTGCTTAAAAAATAGTTTAACAATATATTACACCAAAATTATATCACAGGAGACAAGAGACAAATTCAGGTAACCAAACTAACATCTGCACGTTTTCTGGGCGATGTGACGATATATATCAGGTAATGCGTGATTAAGTGTGAGAGGTGATATGTCATAGCATGAATTTTTTGTCAACGGCAACTTTTCTGCACTTTTGAGTTTAGCAGCTCTTTCCCTACCTTTATAATAGTTTTGCTACCAATGCGAAGAGGGGACTTGACGCCCCGTAGAGACCGCCTGCCCACCATAAACAGACATGCCAGGGCGCTGAAAGAGCACCCAAGAACTATTCCAGCCCCGCAAGAGACTCATCGGTTCCCATGGCGATCCCTATCGGGTGGCAGGCATCATCAACCGTTCCAGGAAAGGCAGCGGGGACGGGAGAGGGGCTGGCAAGTCCCGGCACTGGGGGGAAGGTGACGTCATGGGCTTGTCCCATGACGTCACAGACCCCAGTCGTCGGCCACAGCCGAACAACGGGGATCCAAAGTCAGGGTGACACCCACAAAAATGGTCGGCGGCGAGGGGCTTCAACGAAAACTTTGAGCTTTCTGAGGCCATTTTCTCATGCGCCAGCACGTGATTAATGTTTAAGTATGAAAGTATGAGCCCCGAAAACGCTACGGCGGTGAATGAAACAGAAGGTCGGCACTATGCACAGCTTCGCTCCATCTCCTCGAATCATACACAGTGACAGTCATCATCGGAAGTGACGTCAGGTAAAGTGACGTCATCTGTCAACTCGGCAGGCAGGTGGACGGCACCGGCCAGGTGGCCCACGCGGCTCCATTGTCTCCTGGGCTATTAGGCTCACTAGGACGTGCTGCATCGCAGAACATGAGACACTTACTATTCTTTCAAGAACGCGTGTCAGCCTTTGTGCACTGATGTACACGACAGGGTTGGGTAGTGCGGAACAGGAGGCGCCCGTGTGCATCATAGGCGGCCGTCAGGTGTGCAGAAGGAGGCGCCCGTGTACATCATAGGCGGTCGTCAGGTGTGGAGCAGGAGGCGCCCGTGTACATCATAGACCGCCGTCGGGTGTGGAGCAGGAGGCGCCCGTGTACATCATAGACCACCGTCAGGTGTGGAGCAGGAGGCGCCCGTGTACATCATAGGCGGTCGTCGGGTGTGGAGCAGGAGGCGCCCGTCTACATCATAGGCGGCCGTCAGGTGTGGAGCAGGAGGCGCCCGTGTACATCATAGGCGGTCGTCAGGTGTGGAGCGGGAGGCGCCCGTGTACATCATAGGCGGTCGTCAGGTGTGGAGCAGGAGGCGCCCGTGTACATCATAGGCGGTCGTCAGATGTGGAGCAGGAGGCGCCCGTGTACATCATAGGCGGTCGTCAGGTGTGGAGCGGGAGGCGCCCGTGTACATCATAGGCGGTCGTCAGGTGTGGAGCAGGAGGCGCCCGTGTACATCATAGGCGGTCGTCGGGTGTGGAGCAGGAGGCGCCCGTGTACATCATAGGCGGCCGTCAGGTGTGGAGCAGGAGGCGCCCGTGTACATCATAGGCGGTCGTCAGGTGTGGAGCGGGAGGCGCCCGTGTACATCATAGGCGGTCGTCAGGTGTGGAGCAGGAGGCGCCCGTGTACATCATAGGCGGCCGTCAGGTGTGCAGAAGGAGGCGCCCGTGTACATCATAGACCGCCGTCGGGTGTGGAGCAGGAGGCGCCCGTGTACATCATAGACCACCGTCAGGTGTGGAGCAGGAGGCGCCCGTGTACATCATAGGCGGTCGTCGGGTGTGGAGCGGGAGGCGCCCGTGTACATCATAGGCGGCCGTCAGGTGTGGAGCAGGAGGCGCCCGTGTACATCATAGGCGGTCGTCGGGTGTGGAGCAGGAGGCGCCCGTGTACATCATAGGCGGTCGTCAGGTGTGGAGCGGGAGGCGCCCGTGTACATCATAGGCGGTCGTCAGGTGTGGAGCGGGAGGCGCCCGTGTACATCATAGGCGGTCGTCAGGTGTGGAGCAGGAGGCGCCCGTGTACATCATAGGCGGTCGTCAGGTGTGGAGCAGGAGGCGCCCGTGTACATCATAGGCGGTCGTCAGGTGTGCAGAAGGAGGCGCCCGTGTACATCATAGGCGGTCGTCAGGTGTGGAGCAGGAGGCGCCCCGTGTACATCATAGGCGGTCGTCGGGTGTGGAGCAGGAGGCGCCCGTGTACATCATAGGCGGTCGTCAGGTGTGGAGCAGGAGGCGCCCGTGTACATCATAGGCGGTCGTCGGGTGTGGAGCAGGAGGCGCCCGTGTACATCATAGGCGGTCGTCAGGTGTGGAGCAGGAGGCGCCCGTGTACATCATAGGCGGTCGTCAGGTGTGGAGCAGGAGGCGCCCGTGCACATCATAGGCGGGCGTCAGGTGTGGAGCAGGAGGCGCCCGTGTACATCATAGGCGGCCGTCAGGTGTGGAGCAGGAGGCGCCCGTGCACATCATAGGCGGTCGTCAGGTGTGGAGCAGGAGGCGCCCGTGTACATCATAGGCGGTCGTCAGGTGTGGAGCAGGAGGCGCCCGTGTACATCATAGGCGGTCGTCAGGTGTGGAGCAGGAGGCGCCCGTGTACATCATAGGCGGTCGTCAGGTGAGTACTCGGCGTAGTTACAAATACGACGCGACAAACTTCGTGGATAGTATATTACAATACAAAATAGCACAAAAGCACACGCACGCAGCTGCACCACGGGAAGACGCGGATGGAATGCACGGCAGCTGCAGCGACGGCAAGCTACAGCCGGCGCTGGCTGGCCGGACCCGACACCTTTCCATTCCGCCGACACAAAACATGATGATGACAGGCAGCAGAGACAGACATTCACAGCATATCTGGACGACACTGAGATATATGAGCCTCCAGGCCTGTCGCGAGCGTATGGACACTGACACCGATGCAACGACGCTTACGTCATCATCACCTATGGGAACGAGCACACGCTTCCAGCAATATCAATATACTTGATGCAAGTTACAGGTAAATCCAGCTCAATATCACGCTGAAACACTCGGCAGCACATCGGTCCACGGTAATGCCTCGTGATGCAGTTTCTTTTTCAAGGTTAGTTCACATGTCATGGACTAATTTAGACACTGGATTTACTTCACTTCTAATTAGTGTATTTGTGAAGGCCTTTTGCCACGTGAACGAAACTAAACGCGAGTAAATGAAAAACATCCAGACTGCTTTTCACACGCATCTGCAGTGGTATGTAGGTAACTAAAATCGTGTATGGTATGGCAGCAATGGTAGGTTGGACGGTGTGAGTAACACAGTAATCGAAGAAAATCGATGTCTTCTCCATTCCGAGCCTCTCCAACCACAAAAAGCGAAATGACTAGCAAACCTGACTGCAAGAAGTTCAGTGTTCCTCCCCCAAACTTCTAAATGCTGTCATCAACACTGGTTTCAACACCAGCCCCAGGTGTTGAAACATCAGATGAGAACAGAGGTAAGATGGGCAAGAATGAAACCAACACACCTATTTGGAGAATCGGACAATGATCGCGATGGCTGGTGCCATTATGTCGGAGTGTCATGTCTTCAGCTACCCGCGGCTCAGGGCAAGACTGCACCTGTAGGCAGTTTTTCCTGTGTTCCACCGTCCTGGTGGTGTGTGTTCTTGCGCTCCATCGGCCTGGTGGTCTTTGTTCTTGTGTTACACCGTCTGGGTGGTCTGTGCTCCGGTTGCGTGAGCGCGTGAAACAGGAAGCCCACCGATCTGCGTGTGCATGTGAAACAGGAAACCCGCCGATCTGTGTGTGCATGTGAAGCGGGAAACCCACCGATCTGTGTGTGCGCGTGAAACGGGAAACCCGCCGATTTGTGTGTGCGTGTGAAACAGGACACCCGCCAATCTGTGTGTGCGTGTGAAACAGGACATCCGCCGATCTGTGTGTGCGTGCGAAACAGGACATCCGCCGATCTGTGTGTGCGTGTGAAACAGGACGGCGAGTGGGGCATCCGTATCGCATGCTTTGGTCTGCGTTTAACAAAAACGCCCTCGCTAGAAGTAGACAATTGCGGTGGCACGAGATTAAAGACCGTTCAAATTTGATTCGACGGGACGATTGGGACCTAACGCCCCCCACCTAAGGAGCGTGTTCCGAAAGCAGCAGATCAGGCCCGCTCCACTTCCTCACGTCCGTAGCAGCAGGCTTGGCACCAGCAATACGTCCGCCCTCCCCGGCCACTGCGCGTCGCCTTTGTGACGTCATCACGCCAGCAGCAACACTCGCGTGCCCGGCGCCGGCGGCGTCACGACCCGCCGCTACTCGCCTCACCGCGTGCCAACGTCATGGCGGCGGGCGGGGCCGGAAGAGGGAAGGGAGGGGGGGGGGGGGGCGGCCGGCTGGCATCACACCACACTCTCCTGGTCGTTGTTGAGGAGCGGCGCGCGCACCACTGTGTCCCGCGCCGGACCGCCGCCCCGCCGGTGGTCTATGGACGCGTAGATGACGCTCGCGTCGGGGTCGCGACCCCGGGTCACCTTGCCCGCCTGACCCGCGCGGGGCAGCGTCAGCTCGGCGTACTGGATGCCGTCGTCCTGCCGACGGGAGGCGGGCGCGGTGGGTGGCGCGGCGACGGTTGTATCGGTGCAGCGGCTGGGGCACTTCGTAACGAGGCTCGTGTGACGGTGGTTTGTTCGGCACACAAGGCATGACAGTTTCGGAAGTCGTCTGCATGGCGGAAGATTTTTGTGCTAAGCGAGATGGTTCTTGACCGGTCAAGATAATCTTACTCATTCAGCTGTCGTATACGTGCCGCATACATGACATAATTCGCGCAACCCGCCAAAACCAAAATCCGCAAAATCTTCGATCCACCATCACCAAAATCAACTCAGCAGTGTATAAAAACGAAATTGTTGGAACACTTTTTTACTAACCTGGTACAATTTTGACTTGATTTGCTTTGTTGCGGGATAGTCGGGAGACGACACGTTATTTCTCTTCATCTCTCCCGCGAGGTGGTTTAACATGAGCGTCCCCTCAGTCACTTCACATTCAGGATCTGCGGACAGGCACGTCTCAAGGTCAGCACAAAGTTGCGAGGCACCGGTTCAGTCCCGTCACACCGCTGCCGCGGATGGGGTTAGAGCGCACCACGCAACGATTGCACTGCACACGCGGCAGACCACACAACCCAGACGTCTTCCACTCCTGGAAGTGGGCTCCTCTCCTTCCAAATGCCTCCAATGCGCCATTGACGCAGCGCAAACACATCACTTCGTATAAACACTTCACACGGCTGTTCCGTTTAGCGGATTGGCCCTCGGCGGCTGCTACTTTCATCGAAGCGGTCGGCGGCTTTCGCGTCGCGCATCGCAGTCGGTGGCGCGGCGGCGCTGCGGCTGCCACATGCAGAGCGCCGCATCTGGCACCACTACGCCGCGAGCGAGCCAGTCAGTCCGCACCGTCCAATCAGCGGCGGCGTTAGCCAGAGCCGAACAGGCCGGGGATCGTCGGCGGGCGCGATGATCCGTCTGTGCCAGGCGTCATGGGACGGGACCCGCTCGCGACACGCGGTGGGAACAGCCGACGCCGGTGATAACGATATGCGGCTATCTTTGTGGTACGCGATGGTAAACCATTTGCTCGCGCGCTTACTTGCTTTGGTAACAGGCTGGCGTTGGTTGCTCAGTGGTTCGAAATTGCAATGCAAATACCATCGGTGTGAAGTGCGTACTTTTGCAGAGCAACTCGGTGAATCGTTGGTTGTAAGACGTTTGTTCTCATAATATAACGACGGGTGATCACAGTATAGCAAGGCAGAGCTAATACACTTCAGCATATGGTGACGGTGTATGAAGGCACAACGCAAGCTGGCTAAGTTTCTGTCGACCGTCGGTTTTCGAAGTCATGGTGCAGGCTTTGCATAGTTAGCGGGGCTAAATTAATATGCCATAAAGACATCCAAATGAACAATATCAGGAAAGATATTGCCACTTTTATGCTTATTGCGCAAACGACCAGGAGCTGACTAAGAAGTTCAAAGACTCCAAGACGGCAGAGGTCGTGAATTTCTCTCGCCATGTTCAGACCAACGGAACAAGCTGAGCAGACCAAGTTTTTGGAGTGGAAATGACAGAGTCGTTGAAACGAACGAAGCCGATTTAACCTTACTGCTGCTCCTTCTGTTGCGACAATAATGCTACTTCACTCCTCACCTGAAAAATCCCTGGTGGTCGCAACGCAAAACCGATGACAAAATGCACAAAAAAGTACCGGCACGGTTCTGCTCCCGATGAGACCCCTCATGACCCGCAGCTGAGCCCCGCGGCCGGTGCGGGGCGGCGCCGCCACCCGCAGCAGCGCCGTCTCACCGTGTCGGCTGGGCACCACGTCCGGGTTGGGGTCGTCCGGGTCGCAGCCCTTGGCGGGGGGCTGGGTCGCGGCCCGGCCCGGCGGGGGGCCCGGCTCGGCGCCGCCCTTGCCCGGCACGGAAGGCGCCGCCAGGTCCGTGTGGGTGGCCGGCTTCCGTGACCGGCCGCTGCGCAGGCGGGAGAGGTTGACGTCAGGCGGCTGGACGGGCCGCCGGCCAACGCCGCGCCGTGGGGATGCAATCGAGCATTTACAGCCGGCGCAAAACTGGCAGAAGCGACGACTGCTACCGCCGCGTCTGGAAAACTAAGTGGCATCTCAAATGGAAGGGTGTGCAACTCGCGCCCTGCCAAATAAACATCGTTACAACTTCGTTGATACCGGCGTTTTGTTTACACCGCTCGTATTGAGAGCAAGTCAGGGTATACGAGGCAACAGAAGTACAAATCAAAGGCTCCATCACCACGCACCAGGCGCCGTTCGCGACCGCATTTTCCCACTGCGGCTGGCCGCCACTGCTGGCCTGACCTGTTGTTCCTGATGCAGGCGACGGCGCCGATGGCGATGATGATGAGGGAGGCGACCAGACCGATCAGCACGCCCAGGATCGGCGTCACCGAGAACGGCTGCTCCGGTGGCGCGCCTGCCGACCACGGCCGACGGTCAGGGTTCAGGTCAGCACGGCAGGGGCAGGTCAGCACGGACGCCGCGGGTCAGAGGGTCAGGTCAGCACGGCCGCCGTGGGTCAAAAGGTCAGGTAACCACGGTCGACGTGGGTCAGAGGTTCAGGTCCATGAACCATGCCGAAGAGTTGGAGGGAGACCGTTCCGTCAGAGCAGAAGGACAGAGAAGGTGAAAAGGAGGTCACGTTTCGTCGGTCAAACTCATCAAACAACACGGCAGGATGGATTTGTACACGCATGCAGTGGACCGAAGACTGTGTGCAAATCGCCATCATTTGTGCAAAATCGCAACGAGTGAGTACGAATCAGCTTGCGCATGCGCACAAGTGCCACCAATATGCTTGCTCCGTTAAAGACTGCGATTGGTTGAACTGCCGTGACTCAGCGCGAGCCTACGCTGGCTGATTCGCCTACTGAAGCCGCGTCAGCCCAAAAGCCATGCGGCACAGTATACCTGCGGCCGCGCACTCTCGGCGAAGTCGCAAGCAACGGAAAGGGGCGAGCTGTTCCGTCCGGACCGTCCTCTCAGGGCTCTCGCTCCGCCTGCCCCGCCACGTACCGGCGCCTTTGGAGGTGCGCTTCTCGGGCATCTTGAGCGTGAATCCCTCGAGTGTGACGGCTCGGCTGCGTCCGCGACTGTTGGCCGCGTACAGCTCGAGCCGCAGCTCCAGCCCCGGCGGCAGCTCCAGCACCGCGAAGTCGGGGAAGGGGCGCGTGAGGTTGCGCACCAGCCGCCGGCCCGCCACGTCGTACAGCTCGGCCACAAAGTACTGCGGCAGACCGCCGTCGAAGCCGGCCGCGCACTCCACCTCCAGCGAGTCGGACGTCTGGTTGATGACGCTGCAGTTCCGGAGCGGGTCCGGTCGGCCTACGGGAGGGAGGGGGGGGGGGAGGGGGGATGGGACGCTCTCACAACGGTCCGTGCGGGCGGACGGCGGGGCTGTCACCGTCGGCAGCGGTGCAGCAGCCGCGGCCACTGCCACCGTCGCTGCACGGGTCACTTGCGGCTTATCAAGGGAAACGCCAGTTGCATAGTTATTTAATCATTCATGTCCACGTCCGGTACATTCTGCGAGAAGCACGAGCACGTGACTACATTGAGCTACGCGGAATGTATGGCCGCAGATGAGAACACCCCCCTTCCGGCGGGCCCGATGAGCACTGACCGGCGGCCACCAGCTGGAAGGCGCACGGCAGCACCATGCGGCCGATCTCGTTATCGGCCCGGCAGAGCAGCGTGCCATAGTCGCGCTCCGTCTTCGGTATGTACGTGGCCCGGCTCTCCAGGCCCCGGGAGGTCACCTGAGGTCAGCCGCCCGGCGGCGTTACCACCCGGCGATCCGCCGGCGCCGGCGGCGACGTGGCAGCCGCAACGGGGCCATCGTGTCAAGGGTGCGGGAGTCCAAGATGTCAGGCGCATGTCTGACCTACGCAACAGTCGTCCGCTGGTCGAGAGAGGTTGTTTGACAGGGCAGTCCCTCCGGTGCCAAGCTAATGGCATTCTGTGACTTTCGGCAAAGTTCTGCAGCAACGCGCAATGTATAATTCCACGGGCGTTTCTGCCCTGTCACCATAAGTTTGCACGAGCACGTGGAGTTCCCGCAGCCGACCCGAGACGACTCGGGTGACCTTGGGGACCCGACTGACCTGAGAGTAGGCCAGCTCGACGATCTCCACGGAGTTGTTGAACTGCCATTTGTAGGTGACGACCGGCGGGTTGGCGTCCACTTGACATGTGACCTGGACGGCTTCGTGGCGGGCCGCGCCGTACCGCCTCTTCTGGCCCTGCACGCAAACGGGCGCGTCTGCCGGCGCCGCGGGGTCAGACGAGGTCAGATGGGGTCATAATGTGTCAGGTAAGATCAGACGAGGGCAGATGAGGTTAGCCGGGATCAAACGTAGTCAGATGAGGTCATAATATGTCAAGTAAGATCAGACGAGGGCAGATGAGGTTATCCGGGGTCAAACGCGGTCAGACGTGGTCAGACAAGATCAGGGAGTGACAGGTAGGGTCACACGCCGTCAGGTAAGGTCCGGCGGTAGCACACGTGACCAGACGAGATCAGGCGAAGCCAAATAAGGTAAAAAGAGGTCAGACGAGGTCAAATGGGCCAGGTTATGTAGACTGTGTCAGGCGAGGTCATACAGAATTAAGCAAGATCAGACGGGTGATGAGGTCTGGGGGCTCAGACTAGGTCAGATAGGCCAGACAAGGTCAGTCGTGGTCAGTGGTTGGTAGGCTGATGCCGCAACATTGTGAAAAGGGCAAATATGTTTTCAAGCAGTACTTAGGTACTAAGTGTGTTTCCATTTTGTTCTAAAGCACCCTAGACAAATATGCGTTATTTTAATGTTACAAGTAGGCATTACGTGACCTATAAAACATACAGTTGGGGGAGATGTACATGACTGTCGAAAGGAGAAGCAATTTGCTCACCGCCAAAATGGCAACCAACATGAGATAACCGGGGGCAGATCAGTAAGCAACGGCCGGAAAGTCCACCGCACATTGTGGGAAGCTGGGCAAAGATCACAACCCGATGTGGACACAAAAAGCGTGTTCTGAGGCGGATAAGACAGGTGGGTGACAAAATCTCTCCGACAACTTCGCCGAAAACTTTAATCGCGGAGGGCTCAATCGGGAGAAACATACGACCGTCAGTCAGGTGTCAGGCTTTAAGGGCGCGTCAGCTGCAATCACTATCCGCGCCACACAACCCGACTATCATCGGCAGACAACCCACTCGCGGCGCCCGGGCAGAAAGCCATCAGGGGGTAATCAGCCGATCGATGCGTGGTCAGCAGGTGTCCAAGGGGGCGGCCCCGGCCTTGACATGAGGACGTGTCGGCACGCCGCGCGGGGCGTTGTCAGGCGAGGCACCTCCGCCTTGGCGAGGCTGTAGCCACCGGTCGGCACCGATGGGTAACGTCAATGGGTGGTCGTCATCGGTCATGTCATCGGTCATCGGTCATGCCACGCGCATGACCGATGGTGACCACCTATTCACATCAGCATGCGGGCGGTGAATCCAGCAAGATAAGAATGCCCTGTCCTGCATAGTAAGAATACCGCGGTATCCGCTGATCCCGACGCCCAGTGTCCTGAGCGCTGTTCTCTTCCGCGCTCCGGGGAAAGCATGCGGCCTTACGCATCGACAGTATCTGCTCGACAATCGAGGAGGATACCTTTGACAGCCCACGAACATACCACATGCTTAAAAATGCGCCGTCCATCTCCATGCACCAGACGACGCCAGTGTGACACCGATCAGAAATAAAAGAGATCTACGGCAGGTTCAGCACGCTCATACCCATCGCGCCCAAGGGGACATGCCGTCTCCACGTGGGGATGAGGTGGATGCTTGGCATTTCGAGGCCCGACCCGATCAGGCCGACGTCGAGGGAGCCGATACACACTGGACGCTGGGAGGGGGCCGACACTCATACCTGACCCCGAGAGAAGGCCGACACTCACACTTGACCCTGAGAAGGGTCTGATACGCACATCCGGCCCTGAGAGAGGACCGACACACACACCTGACCCCGAGAGGGGGCAAATACCCACACTCAAACCCAAGGGGGGCCGACACTCACACCTGACCCCGAGAGGGAGCCGACACGCACAACCGTCCCAGCAGGGGGCCGACACTCACACTTGACGCTGAGCAGGACGGGCCGGCTGGCGCCGTCGCCCTCCGGGTTGGAGGCCTTGCAGACGTAGGCGCCGGCCGCCCTGCTGCTGACGTTGCGCACCACCAGGCTGCGTTCGCTGATGCTGACCCGGTCAGCCGCGCCCGCCCCGGCGCTGGGTTCCAGCGGCGCGCCCTGGGGTGGTCACAGGTCACAGGTCACGGGTCACAGGTGACCGCCCGGCGGACCCAGGCAGGCTGGCGAGTCGGCGGCAGCCAGCGAGGCAGCCGAGCGAGCGGGCAGAACGGTCAGCGGGCTACAGCGAGTCGGTCAGCAAGCTACTCGAGTTGTTGAGTCCAGTGATTTGGCACGTTCAGCTAGAATGCGGTCTTCGGGGAGCTCAGTCCGCAGATACAGAGTCCACGATATTGACCCCACATTAACCTCGCAATCCATACGTCATGCAAGAATGATTGAACCAACAGCTGAGGTAATGATAAATGATCAGCAAATACAACGAGCACACAACACATAAAAAGCACTGCCACACTGTGCAGTGAGGCAATTGCTCTGTGAGTAGACAAAATATATTATCTTATTCTAACCAACAGCGAGTCTCGTGCATGACCAGAACGCAATAAGAAGTGAAGTTAAAGCATAATTTGGAGCCGTGCTGCATCCGCAAGCATGTCCATAAGCCACCTCGGCAAAATTCCGCTGCAACGGCGAAAGCATAACGCGCTTGATTCGTCTCACAAATTCCGCGTCCCCTTTAATTAGACATTATTACGGCACACCGTTGTCGCTTGGAGGACCGCTAATGATGTTTGTACCAGCGAGCCTGAGCCTAATCGTCGCGTACTCAGACCACGCGCGCTCCACGTGCGGTTCCGGTGAGTTAGTGGCGCAATGACGCAGCTAGTGCCGCAAAGCGAACAAAACAGGCCTTCTCACGCTAGATTATTGGGCAGGGACTTCCTTTGAACCAAATCTGAAGTACACGAAAAGTAGTGTAAACAGACGGGAACGCGTGCCTTGTGATCAAGCCTTTAAAATAAGCCGGTAAAATTTATTCCTTAAGCGTGTTCTTTCGTCATCATATGCTTATTCCTCGTCTCTCAGTTGCGGTTCGTAATGAGTTCATACCATCGGAACAAAAAGACAAACGCAAAATGGTGAGTAGGCGTTTAACTTTTTGCTGTTTTGCCACACCTGGCGACAAACGTTGGGACTGAATCCTAGTTTTACTAATTTATCCTATCCTAATTGTTATCCTAGTTTCCGGGCATAACATGTTCGGTACCAAATTAGGTCCCTATTCAACAATAGTGGCGTGAAAAAGACTTGGAGGCCATGGACTCGTTTACTCGTGAGCAGAACGCTACTGCGGCGACGCGCGATCGCGCGGCCGGAAATAACCGGTCTAAACAGGTGGGTAGGGCATCCATATGTTTCGCCGAACGCCAGAGCACCAAACCTTTAGCAAATGCCTGACGCTGCAAAAGCTGAAGGCGCTGATATGGAAGCTGAAGTCGCTGATATGGAATCGTCGTCAAAAAGCAGTAGCATGTCGTCGAAAATGAATGCGTTTTTTATGGGCAAGCACAGGTGCATCACTCTCCCAGCAATTGTGGCCTGACATGCGAGTGCAACGGCCTGCCCAGGCGTATACAGCCTGATTGAAACCACACGACAGTGATACTGAGGCCAAGTCCATGAATACCTCACAGACGAGGGAATCGATGACGAGCAGGCCTCAACATCCCTGCCTTTGTCCGTACTGAGTGCTCACACAGCCCAGCCGTGTGATGGCCGTCGACGAGCCGCCGAGCTGGCCAGGGCGGTACTCGCGGTACTGGTGGTGCAGAGCGGTACTTACGTCGTGGTACCAGATCACGCTGTAGACCGGAGGGTTGGCGTGGATCGTGCAGTCGAAGTAGATGTCGGCGCCCTCCTTGATGTCGTCCGGGTTCAGGGCGTAGCCAAGTTTCAGCGTCACCATCGGAGCGACTGGGGACACACCGATAGACGCTGTGGTATGTTGACCCCCTCCGTTAGGTTCAGTGAAATCAGGGGTAATGCTTTGGACGCGTGAAGTCGCGTGCGTGTCGCGTCAAACTATGTGCGATAATTTAGTTGCGGGCGATCGTTTTTCGGAGACGCTGTGACAGATTTGGTGGTTGCTGACATTCTCACTGACACTTTAAACTCCATAGACAAGCTGCCCTGAGAAGACTTCCAGGATCAAAACCAACGTTCCCGTTTTACGAGCGCATGGTCCAACGTACCGTAATGACGGTAACTCACATCGTGGACATTTAAAAGCGTATCGGATGTCGCGTTCATCACCCGAGAATGGTGCTGGCATGCATCGTGCAATATCTAGAGGTCGATCTTTATGGAATGAATGCGGCGACTGCCGATAGCTGATAGGTGCCGATAGGATAGGTGCCGATAGCTGAGAAACACGATACCGCATGACTATCACGTGCGGTCAAACCGGCGACTGGCACATTGCCCGGTACATTGGGATATCCCGCGAGCCTTTATGACGGGCCGGGGCGAATGAGTCTGGGGTAGGCCCACCTCACTCCGCTATTGGAACGGTGGGGCGACCTCGACGTGGGTAGAGATTGCGGCAGGGCACTCAGCGGGAGGAGAGTGCTCACAGCGGGCGGCGAGGCACTCACAGCAGGAGGCAGGACACTCATAGCAGCCATCTGGATACTCAGCGGAAGGGGAGTACTCACAGCAGGCGGCGGGATATTCAGCTGGAGGGGAGTAATCTCAGCAGGCGGCGGGGCACTCACAGCAGGCGGCGGCACACTCACAGCAGGCGGTGTGATGCTCAGCGGGAGGGGAGTGCTCACAGCAGACGGCGGGGCACTCACAGCAGGCGGCGGGACACTCACAGCAGGCGGCGGGACACTCACAGCAGCCGGCGAGGCACTCACAGCAGCCGGCGGAACACTCACGGCGGCTGGCCACCGATAAGCGGCCGCATTCAGGGCGGACGGCGGGGGAAGGCCGAGCGCGGGCGGCGGGCACTCCGGAACGGCACTCACATCTGACAGCCAGCTGCCGGCGGTGCTCTAGCGAGCCGCCGGCCACCTGACTGTTCTCGGCTCGGCACACGAGCTGGCGACCGTTGTCCTCTGCGCGCGGCTGCAGCGGCAGCGTGCTGCTCGTGATGTTGCCGCCGCCAGACTCCTGCCGGCGGGTGCAGGCCGCGGTCACGGCCCAGCGGTGCCGGACGCCGAGAGAGCAGCCCGCCACGGTGTTAAGGACCCGGCCACGGGGTCACGGGCTCGACCGCGGGGTCACGGCCCCGGCCACAGGGTTACGGGCCCGGCTCGGGGTCACAGAACCAGCCACCGGGTCGCGGGTCGGTCACGGGGTCACAGAACCGGCCACCGGGTCGCGGTTCGGTCAAGGGGCCGAAGAGCTCGGCGCTGATGGGGAGCCCGTCGAAGCCAATATTGACATAAATATAATAAATTAACATAAATTTAATGATTAACATAAACACAACTTTTACAAGGCATTTCAAATGCATTTGAAAATGACTGCGTGTTTTCCTAATCGTCTGTTGTATGATGGCACAGGTATGCAGGGACGATGGAAATGTCCGTGATATTCGTCGCTCTTGGTGTTAGACTCTGGTGCGGCGACAATCGCCTCGATGATTATCATGATTCTACATTATAAAGCTCAAGGCTGGAGGCATTTTCCATAAGAGAGAGCCATAGCCGTTTTGCGAAGCAAACCCCATGATCAATCAATTGCATTTCATTGTCCAAATCGATGGTGCTACTTGAGGGATCGAAAGGCAATAAGATCGATTATTTTTGCATGCATGTTTGGATATATCTCCCATAAAAGGCAATGCTGGAGGTGTCTCATCAGGGAGCCACAGGGCTTAAAGATCTATGCTTTCCCGCAGGCCTTTTGTGTACACCATCGGGAAGCACAATAGTCCTAATTGTGCTGACGGAAATCAGCGTTAGTTTCCCGAACCTTTTTATGTTTATCATTCACCGGTGGAAAAGTAGAGGAACTTTAGCCAGAACGCAGCTGTTAACATTCGTAAAACATTTCATCGAAATCTCTCTTCACACAGAATGGCAAAAGGTACGGTTGACCACAAAGCTGTCGGGCTGCTTGCATCGATTGAGGTTTCCACAACATTATTGGAAATGGACGCAGATGGTAGAGTTTTTTCTGCTGTACGAAGTTTCGGTAAAAGCTTTGCCCCACTTTGCTCAAACCCCACGAATATGAAATCAGCATGGAAATGTCTACCGTGTCGCCTTCAATTAGCCCATTCCGAGCTAATGCGCCTGAAATGCCAGACATGACCAAACTCTGAAAAACCTCTAGCTTTTTACACGAGGCACCTCCCGGCGGACTTTTCACAGGCGATTCGCGCAGAGGACACCTGCCACGGTCTACTGGAAGTCGCGCCGCTCTTGGTCACTCTCGTGGAAGGAAAAAGGAAAGGGAAAGAAAAAGGGAAACGCAGTGATCTCTGGAATATCACCGGCGCCAGCCAGGGACCGGCCGGTGTGCCAAAATGCCAGACACCTTTTTCAGACTACTCAAGCGGCAATTTGCATAATCAGACTTGTTTCGACCCAGTCGAACGGAGCGAGATGAAGCAATGCCTATGAAACTTCTGCTCCAATGAGCGCAATAGTGGAACGTGTTTTGCAGAAAAAGCGAGGCTCACATTGTGGCACTCAGTCTGCGAACTGTCCGTGTCCGTTCGTAGGCAGCATTCGTCCAGCAACCTGACATGGAATATTTGTGTGCTCCCTTAAGCACGCGGCCTCGTATTTAGGTTCACGCCACCGCCCCTGCGGTCCGCACTCCACTTCATTCGCCTGAGCTCGGTAACGTGCCTCGAAACAATCCTCCAAGGGCGTATAACCATAAATCGTCAGCCATGACATTTTCATGCACGGCGCAGTACGGATAAATATGCATTACACAAAGCCCGCCGACTGGCCTCCGCTGGTCCACACGCCCACTTGCGCCGACTCAGCGCCGCTTCCTTCGACGTTCACGACGTCAAGTGGCTGTTTGCTACTGCGGGAAATCACATGACAGAAGCCATGCAGTCCCGCCGTCACGCGCGCACCCAATCACAGCACGCCGAGGCTGAGCTCACCGCCTGTTTGGCTCCTGTGATGCGTCTGTCGTCGATCCACCAGGTGAGGTTGGCTGCCGGCCTCGACCCGAACGTGCGGCAGACGAGGTCGTACGTCTTGCCGGCGGACATGGAGGTCCGCGGCGAGCCCAGGATCTCCACGCTCAGTGGCCGAACTGCAACCACGGCCGGCGGCGCCTTCCTCAACACGCAAAAACACATTTTTCTTCGTATTGCCTGTCGCACGAGGTGCTGTTTTGCCGTACATCAGGATGTGCAAGGATTTCCAGCTTTCTCACGAGAAAGAATTGCCACCAGACCGAGGGAGATAAACGCACTGAGCTATAGCGATGCAGCAGGTGGCACGTGAACTGGATCAATACAGGTCACGCGTCAACTGCTGCCTTGACGACTTCAATATCGCTGGGCAACGATGGGCCCAGTCCCACCCGGCGGGCCGCCCGGAAGAAGTTTGGAGCCGTTGCTTATGCTTGCCTTATGCCATCCTATGCTTGCTTTCACTCCTTCAGGCATGATTACCCTAATTTGGTCGAATTGGATCGGGTTCCTAATGCTCTGGGAAGCCCTGATTGGAGGGGCCCGTCCAAACTCACACTGCGGTCTGGTGGTTCCGTTACATGCAAACTCCTCGCAGGTGGGTGCCTCTCACGGAATAGAGGCCGATCCCAATGCTAATTGAAGTGCCCATTTGAAAGGCTGGATACCATACTAACCGGGCTCAGCAGCGGAATACGAGGGTGCTCAAAACGATTACTTAAGAAATGAGTTTGTTATTTGCTCGTGACTCTCAGGGGAGCGCTACGGACTCTCATGCAATTTAACTTCACATAAAAAACATGCGTGACCACCTGCGGTAACAACATGGACGACAACATTCCGGCAAGGCATTCAGTCACAATTTTTCGTCTGCATCTCGTTATAAACACGGCATGGCGTCACTACGGTGAGAGGTTCGAAATCAGCAATCCAAAAAAATAGCGGGTTACGCGTGTAGCAGACTATGCATCTGAATGATGGGATTCAGAACAGTCATGGTTTTTCGACATTTTCAAGAATGAGATCACGTTAAAGCCAGGTAGTGACGATACTCAGCCTTCAATATAGCAGATGACGTCAGGTTACTGACTATGGTCGTCGCACGCCCATCATCTGCCTCTTTTCCTGACGTCATTTTCTACTGTACTGATTTTGTACACTCTGACCGTTCTTCCGTATTTCCCCGCATGACAAAGATCAGCTGTTGCGTACGTGCGGGGTGCAGGCTCAATTGTCCTTTGGCAATGGGTCAGTAGGTTGATTGGTCGCGTCTTTGCATACGTGCTCGGCCATCACATCGCGCATTCTCAGTCAGATCACTCGCGTTGAGAACACTGCTGCGTTTGCCTCATCTCGCACTCACAGTTCATCTCGAGAACCACGTCGTTGACGGCCGGCAAGCTGACGTTGCTGTTGGCTGCGGCGCAGACCAGCCGGGCGTGCAGGTCGTGTCGGCTCAGCGGCGGCAGGCGCAGCACGTTCGTGACCTGGCCGCGGCCGTCCGACCGCCACGAGGCGTCCAGCAGCCGCTCGTCGCGGAACCACGTGACACGCGGCGCCGGCCGCCCTGCCGACCAAGGCCCGGCCACGTGACGGACGGGCGACGCTCTGTGGAACGCGCTCTGAGGGCATTCAGTTGGCGCCCCCGTTCAGAGTCAGAGCTCCGCAAATCGGATAAAGCCGGCGGCGATTGCTAGTTACGGGACTTACCGGAAGCAGATAGCGTAGCAGGTTGGTGCACTGAACGTGCGTTCCACGTGTGACATTCTAACATCTGGATGCACGTTTGGACTTGTTCGGAGCTCAGCAGCGTCTCCACCTTCAGCCAGCACAGCTGGTCAGAACGGTTCCACATCGAGACGACGAGGCATCCATCGATTTTCCTCAATCAAAATGCAATTTGTACTGCGATGGGCCATGCTGTGCCGATCAAAGTCACATCCAGCAATCGGATTCCTCATCAATGGCGAGCCAGCGCCGGGCGCGGCGGAGGTCGTCCGGGAGAACTCCGCCGAGCCAGTGGCCGCTGCTCGCGCCCCGGCCGCTGGCAGGCCGACGGCGCGTCACTTGACGATTTCGCGGTCAATCACGCCCCCGGACGTAAACCAAATCGAAGGGGTTTGTGTCGGCCGCTGACGCTGAGTGCAGCATGAATAATTCCGGCGCAGCAACAGCCAGACGGCAAGCGACCAAGGTGTCCGGGCTCCCGTGACTTCGTGCGTCCCTCCCCTCCGCCCCATGACCCCTTCCCCGCTCCGCGCACCCCGCTGCCGGCGCCCTCTCCCCGCTCTCAGAAGAGCTGTCGCGGAGCACGACCTAGCAGACGCAGCTGCCGGACAGAGGACACTTGCCCTGCTGGTGGCCACACGCTCGCTCGGCTGATCAAGCTTAAGCAGCCAAGGCTCAGCCAGAGTGAGGACGCGTCCACTCGTCCACGCTGCGGGCGTCCACCCCGCCAATGTGACCACAGGAATGGGGCGGGGGGGGGGGGGGCACGGGTGGATTTCCCCGTGCTTTTGATGACACAGGTGGGACAAAGGTTTGTCAAAGTCTTACGATTTGTTCGCGTGTTAAGTGTCTTTCCCGGAAGACTGGCAACACACTTCATTACACTCGCCTCCAAGGATAGTCACGCATTTTATTTGATGCCCAGATGACTTTTTTGCTCGGAAGATTTACCCCAAACCTACCGGTACCCACCTCCCCACGATTAGCATGCATTGTTTTCTCCCCGAACGGTTCTATTGATATAAGCTCATACAGTTCTCCGATCGGGCGAGAAAGGGTCATGCTTATCGTGCCGTCCAAGGCTCCGTAGAACCCTCGGGAGGGAAGTGGAGGGCACACCATCAGAGCAGGCAGTGGGCTCCACAGCAGCCTTAATACGGGACAGAGGGCTCCGTGGCACCCTCAGGAAAGAGGTGAAGGGCTTCGTCGCACCCTCAAGGGAGCGGGCTCAGGAGAATCGAAGAGCTTCCTCGGAATGGAGGAGGAAAGCACAGCACACCCTCGGGAGGGACCCGGAGGCTCCGGAGCGCCCGTCCCGGAGGCCGGGGGCGCCTGACCGCAGTCCGTCCCGCAGGCCGGGGGCGCCTGACCGCAGTCCGACACGCTGCGGCATTTACAGGCGCGCTCCGACGTCTCAGAGTCGCTTTACGGCCGCCACTGCGATTTAACTGCCGTCGCGAGACCCGTCTCGTGCCCTCGAGCGTTGTGGCCGCAACGGCGGTGGTCTCCGCGGGCGGCCTCCGCACCGGCAGCCTCCGCACCGGGGCGGGGCGTCGCCCAGCCGGGGGCCCACGCGGTGGACACAACGGTACCGGAAACAGTGGGCGGGAGACGGTGAGCTTTACAGGATGCAGCGAAAGTGGCCGTTGGGATTCAGGCTTGTCATCTGGAAGCATCGGTGCATTTTACTGAACTGATACTTAAGCCCCTACAAGTACTGCTGCATGGGCATGGGCTCCATGGGTAAGGAGCAGCCATACTGCTAAAATAAAAGAGAATTATGGGCATCGGATTTCAGGTTCATCTGATAACATCTTTTTTGCACCGTGGCCTTTAAGCAACTGCATGCCAAAAGAATGACGTTCGAGAGCCCTCAGTCATACTGATGTCTCGTTTAGCGCCGATCATCACCTCCCTCCCTATAAGATACATATGTGATTATAGACACCTATTTTTGCCCTGTGAGATATGGCTGAACTCGCGTGACAGTGATCACACCCCGGTGAGGCGCACGTGGGCTCCAACAGCTCCTTCCACAGACATTACTCATTTCTGTTGTGTAGATTGATTAGCCTTGACTTGGCTCACCTCCCTGTGAAAGATGAAGCTGACCGAACTGGACTCACTTCGCTGTGAGGGGCAGGCGAAGCTAACCGAAATGGACTCCCCTCGCTGTGAGAGGCAGGCGAAGCTGACCGAACTGGACTCACCTCCCTGTGAGTGGTGAAGCTGACCGAACTGGACTCACCTCCCTGTGAGGGGCAGGCGAAGCTAACTGAACTGGACTCACCTCGCTGCGAGGGGCAGGTGAAGCTGACCGAACTGGACTCACCTCCCTGTGCGAGGTGAAGCTGACCGAACTGGACCCACCTCCCTGTGAGGGGCAGGCGAAGCTAACTGAACTGGACTCACCTCGCTGCGAGGGGCAGGTGAAGCTGACCGAACTGGACTCACCTCCCTGCGAGAGGCAGGTGAGCTCGAGCGGCTCGTCCTCTGCCAGCGGCCCGATGCGACCCGTCGCAGGGCGGTTGTCGTGTATAATGATCGGGATGTCAGGTGGAACTGTAAAACCAAACACAGGTCAAGCGTCTGACCATACTGAAACTGGCCACTCCACTTGGGGAATTCGAACAAGCTGCTGGCTCTGTGATGCAAGCGTGGTCGAACAGGCACAGTTGTACGACGAGACGTTGGTTGTTTTGCAGTTGCGTCACACAATTACGAAGCCGTTCATTAGTCTGGTATTTCGTTAAGAATGCTAAGCCGCGAATGCCGCCCTTTGCGCAATCGCATCGGCTGAAGACGACGGAGGATAGGTGCCCCACCGTAGCGCCACTCACTGATGATGGTCAGGTTGACTCTGTGGTTGCGCGTCGGATTGTTCCTGAAGTCGACCCGGCAGCGGTAGAGACCCTGGTCCTGCGGCACGGCGCTGCCTAGTCGCAGCGCCGGCGGCCGCGTGACGAAGATGGCGCGCGTGCCGCGCATCAGCTCCATGCCGACGGACCGGTCCGAGAATGACTTGTTGCCCCGCGCGTCGAAGCTGGGCGGGGCGAGCGCCGGGTCAGGGCGGGCCGCCCGGCTGTGACCGCGGCCGAGGGCCGGTCACAGGGGGCCGCTGCCGCCGCCGGGGACGGCGCCGCCGCAGAGCAGCGGTGACTACATCACCCCAGAGGGGTGGTCACGTGGTGTGCGTGGTGCTCCATGTCACGGGGGACCGCCGCAAAGGACGGCATCACCCCAGAGGGGTGGTGACGCGGTGTGCATAGTGCTTCGCTTCAGTCACGCTTGTGATGCTGACAGGAAAATGAGGGGAGGGACAAAATCGTGTTCCATGCAAATAACTAAGCTGCAGCGGGGTAAATAAGGGGCATTTTGTCTTGGATCCAGCAGAACAGTTGCATTTTTTTCCTTAATCCGAATTCATGCTGCTCCAAATTGTTTGACGTTTATCATCATCCACATATCCTAGGGAAAATAAACGACCGTTGACAAATTTGTGGATCCAAATAAAACATGACGTTCATCAAACTTTTATCTAAGCGTGTATGTGTCTTTTTAAAATCTCAACGACATCGTAGAGGCGTTCTAAAAGACATAAGTACATATTCTTGAACTTGTCAGAACTGAAAATAAATCTGGATGTAACAAGCGCCATCAGCTCATACCAACACCATTATACCAGTGCGGACTGTCGTGGTATGCACTAACGTCCGTCCCGGTGGCTCAGTTGGTTAGAGCGCCTGCCTTCCGATGCACCCACCCGTGGCGGGGTGGGTTCGAGTCGCTTTAGGGCGCTCGCCATTTGCCCTTGACAGGTATGGCCTGCGGCCGGTGGCAGCGGTCGCGCTAGAGGTCAGTTGACGTCAGAGGGCAGGACGGGTCGTGCCGAGCATTGCGGCACGTTAAGCTTTCGCCACCAAATTCTGCCGTTGACATGGAATTGCGCGATCGGATGGTAGGGGTCGGGGCTCACACAACAAGCACTGCTTAGCGTGAGCTCTGATCCCGGAAATCCATTCATTCAAAGGGTTCGGATCAAATCTTTAAAAAAACGTTATAGAGCGACACCGCTTTATCACTGCCACAATTTTTACTGTTATTGTTACTTATTGGGTTCTAAGGATGCGTCAACTGTAATGGTTATTGGTGCCTCACCCACAGTACCACTACGTTATTGGTGCATGCCTTTTAAATTGAATGTGTAGGATATATATATATATATATATATATATATATATATATATATATATATATATATATATACCTTTACTATGAGGGACATTCAGCACCGTGTAGTCTGCCTCACCTGAACATTGGCGTGCCCTCGTCGTTTTTGTACCACAGAACCAGCACGGCCTGATCCTCCGGGTCATGCGTGCTGATGTCGCAGGGCAGGTCAACCTGGCGACCGGCCACGCCCATCACCTGGGCCACGTGACCTGCCGGCGGAGACAGGACGCCGCGCTAATCACACGAGCTTCCGACAGGTCACGCCGGGGTGCACTGGTAAAAGGATATATATATATATATATATATATATATATATATATATATATATATATTTCCCCAGCGCCTGCTGGCGCTGGGAAGAGGATGCGGCGTGTGCATACAGTATAGGTCGAGTACTGCACATAGAGTGCACACTGGGCGTGTCCGGTTGAGACGGCGAATAGTTTTGGAAGATGCCCGTCAGAAGATGAGGATTCGTTTTTAGAGTAGCGATCTTCATGTTTCTTCCACCGTACCGCTCACTGTTCTGTCAGTGACAAAAAGTGTTGTTCGATATTAACTTTTGTTGTATCGACCGGTCAAAACATTTGCTTCGTATGCCTTTCAGCAGACTACTTTACAGTACAACGTATCAAACCCCACACTTTGTTTCACTCCCGCTGTTTTATCGTTGATTTTATTGAAACAACATGTCGGCGAATTGGCTTCGGATTTTTCAAGCATCTAGTCTGTGATTGGCTGGCCGTCACCTCTGCCATGACAACGATCGTGTTTATGGTGAGGTAAAGATAGTAGCAGCTCTGAGCGTCCCTTAGAGGCGTGCACTGCAATCAAAAGCGATTGTCTTACTTTATGTGCTAAAGGACCATAATTTATAACTGTTTGCCCAGAATGTGATACGTATGGCGTTCATTGTGATGTAATGTGCAGTGTTGATTTGCCCCACACCGTGCATTGTGGCCAAGTCTACAGTGATGACCTGCCCCACATCGCACATTGCGGTGTGATGTGCAGTGATGACATGCCCCACACCGCACATTGTGGTGTAACCTGCAGTGATGAGCTGCCCCACATCGTACATTGTGGAGAAATATACAGTGATGACCTGCCTTACACCGTGCATTGTGGTACACTCTGCAGTGATGACCTGTCTCACAAATTCCCACCAGAAACTCATGTCACATTGTGGTGTAATCTGCAGTGATGACCTGTCTCACACCGCACATTGTGGTGTAATCTGCAGTGATGACCTGTCTCACACATTCACCACGGAGGGGTTTGCGAAAGCCTTTACAGGTGGCATTTTTCCTTTGAGTAAAGCTGTTGACCTGACAGCAGCCTAAAAAAGTCTCATTGCTTATTCTTGTCTGTGTCTGAAATTAATTCCTGTCTGTTTGCGCCCCCATTCATCTGTTCAATGAATTAGGCTATTTTACTCACTGACGCTTATATGAATGCCAGCAACTACAATCGCACAAATTGTGGACAAAGGACTGTTTGAAATTTTTCACGTGTCGTGAATCATCCATGGATGTCTAAGAAACAACATGTGAAAGCTATTTAGACCAGGCACATATTTCCATTGCCACTCCCGGAATACATCGGCGGAAGTTCAAACACATGTTACACATGCTCTCTGCACCTTAATTTTCCTCGAGGTTTGAAATGCTATAGTCTAATGGGTATCATTCTGGCAAACTCGCTGGCTTATTACAACATTTGCATTTAATCATCCAATATTCTGAACCAAATTCATCTGCACGGCTTCATCTCCTGACCTAACTGAATCCGATGATCCTCGCGAAATATCTTCTGCGAAACTGAAATACAGTGCAAAGGTCAGGGACCAAGCGTCTCAAACCGCGACCATTTTGCGACCCCCGCACAATTACATCTCGCCGATGTCCTTGACGTCCGCTGGGCCAGTTCCTGAAAACCCCACAGAATGAGGGAGTTGCGTGCCACTGCAACATCTTGTTTCCGATTATTAGTACCGACCCAGCGCGGGCCGACCGGCGGGCGGACACGTACGGAGCAGGCGGCCGTGCGTTCCGCGCGCCTTCACCGTTGCTCGTCTAGATATAAACACTTGTGCCCCGCAATTAAGTCGTCCAACGAAGTGCATATTCAGCGCACCGACAGAGCCATCCGTCCATCCTGGTGTGTCTGTCTTTGCCCGCGAGATGCCCTTCAGATTACGTCGTTGATTTAATCTCAGTCATTATCTGATGGGGTCACGCCGCGCGCGCCCTGGGTCGGGGGCGGACTGCTCTCTTGATAATGCCGCTCACTCCGAATTGCGGGGTGGGACCCCACTACGAAAAACTCATCTGGAAGGAATTCTTCGCAGGAGAGGGACGGCTTCCTTCCGCCACATCGCCCCGCGGCGGAACGGCTGGCGCGAGAACCGGGTTCACTTGGCGGCGGCATTGCCTATTTCCATCCGTTTGAAGCCCATGCAATCATGGCGGCTGTCCCAAACTGGTGCTCCGCGCTCGACAGCAACAGCGGCCTGCACTCCAAAATGGCGCGGGCAACCGCCGCCGCCGCAGTTGTAAACTAATGCATCTTTTGAGGACTAGGCGCCACGCATAATACGGAAAGGATGGGCACACTATTACGAGCGCGGCGCGGCGCTGAGCCGGCGTGGGCTCCACACGCACGTCTCACCTTCCTCTCACGCACGCCGCTGGCCTGCGATCGTGCTCTGCTTTATGTCTTCACTGCTTATCCTGCAGAGCACTGCGTCTAAATATTTGCCCTTCGGCTCCCAAAAACGGCGCCGTCATGCCCTTCTTCCGGAGGTGGCGCCGGCTCGGCTCGCGCCAGTCATCGTCGCCGTCGACGCATCAAGACCGAAGCCGTCGGGGCGGGGCGACAGGGGTGGGGGTGGGAGGTTAGGAGCTCTGCAGGTGGCTCTGAGTGAGGAGGTCAGGTTTCGCGATGCAGTCCGCGCACTGAAGCGCGGGGTGGTGACCCAGCTCGTGCTGTGCTCTGCACCGGTGCAGCGTAAAGCGTTAGAGATTTTGTGCACATACATCACAGCTCATTGCCACGCTTTTCAAGGTGGCATGCCTTGTCTGCAATCTGTCTGTATGTGTGCGTCATTGCTTTCGGTTATCTGAGTTTCATGTGGATTTTGACTCGATCGCCTTCATCTTAATTTCAATTCAATCGCTATTCGTTTCATTGTCGTCGTAATTGATCCCCGAAACGCTTGATCACTGCCTCATAAATATTCTCAAGGTTACTTTACCTAGCGGGCCCACCGCGATCATCAGCGTCACCATTACTCTCTTGACGAGCTATCTGAAGGAAACGGAAGAGCACTGAGCCTCAGGACCTTACGCTCATGGGACCAGCACCTCACCACCGCAGAACTGCCTCCTTTATTTGCTCCAATGAGAACTGACTGTTCGAAACTTGTCGGATGTTATTGCATCAACCTTGGGACACGTTGACTGGTTGTTATTGCTCCAATGTTTGCGCATCAGTTGTACTCGGGCTCGTGTTTTTGTTTGCGCACCCGATAGTGGTTCAATGCTGCTCAAGAACGTCACGATTTGAGATTGTTTAACGAAGTTATATACCCCAACACATCAGTGCCCTGCCAAGATGCGTGCGTACATGCATGCACACCTCACTTCATAAAGGTTAGCACTGCACCAGCACGGGGTCAGCGACTTGAGAAAGACGCTGTCCCCAGTACGCCTGCGGCGCCACGCTGCGTTCTCCAGGCCCGCCGCGAATGCAAGGCTTGATTACCCCATTGCTCACATTTCATGCATCGCGAATTGGATGAGGAGACAAGACAGGCCACTCATTTGAATAGCCGGCGGCATGCGCCGGCGGGGCTATCCGGTCTTAGCCACCCCCGTCCCTGCCCCCCCCCCCCTCCGTTTCGCTGCGCGGACGGCTCCGCCACTGAGATCGGTGCAGGGTGGCGCCGCGCCACCCTCCGCGGGCCACCCTGCCACCCAGCCAACCCGGACCTGCGGCAGAGCCCGGGGCGGCCGGGCAGCTCTGTCATCCACCCGGCCGACGACGGCGCCGCCGGAGGGGGGGGGGGGGGATCAACAGGCGGTCCGGCGGCCGAAGGCAGTCACTACGGGGAGGGGAGGGGGAGTCGCGCGGAGGAAAACCAGATAACGTATCCGACGTGCTAGGACGGGCCGCGTTAGGCGGCACCTCCCGTGGGACCGTTGTCCTTCCCTGATTCAGGTGGGTCCGTCGGAGCCCGCGGGTCCCTCTGTGCGGCGGGTCCCCCCGGACCGGCGGGTCCCTCGGTCCGGCGGGTCCCCTCGGACTGGCGGGCCCCCCGGTCCGGAAGTCCCTCGGACTGGCGGATCCCTCGGTCCGGCGGGTCCCCCGGTGCGGCGGGTCCCCTCATACCGGTGGGTCCCCGGTGCGGCGGGTCCCTCGGTCGCGTGCCCCGGACAAGGTGACGTCGCGACACGAGCCGGCCGCTGTTCACTGATCCCATCAGAGCCGAGAAAAGGTCAGCTCTCCGGAGCGCTGTTCGCCGAACGGCAGCATCTCGCAGATCGATGGGCGGCGGCGGCTCCACTCGACGCCTGATCGTCCGCCGGGACAGAGGCGCGACGGCGGAAGTCACGCCCCTGCCCGGCGCGTTCCGCCGGCCGGGCGCTCGAGACAGGCTCGTCGGGCAGTGTTCTCGACATCGACCGCTGCCGATCTGTCCAGGCAGGTGGCCGTGCGCTGCCGGTGTTCGTGAGGTGCGTTCGACTTGCTCGCCTCGCGCCATGAGCATGATAAGCATTGCACACGTCGTGGGTGTGCTGCGCGGCACGCGAGCCGCCACGCCCCCGGGCAGCCAGGCTGTCTGGACACCTGGGCCGACCGGAAGTCGGTACAATGGCGACATCAAACCAGCTTGTGCTTACGGGCGGACGCAGTAAACCGAGTAAAACCGTTATGTTTGCAACACTGCTCGACATGTTGGATATCCAACAAAATACCATCACCTGTGACATAACAGAAACGTGAGTTTAATTGAGAACTCTTCAAACAAATGAGCACACGCCCACCTGGACAATGTCTGGGGTCATGCGGGCCACTCGAGCAGCCACCGCAGCTCACGCACTCAAACAGCCGCGCAGTCCATGTCTCCAGACAGCTGCGGCGGCTCAGAAGAGCTGACGTGTCGATGACAGCTGCCTGTCCAGAGGCCGTCTCGCCGTCCG